ACAACAGTTCGGAATTTTTGTACAAAATGTAGTGGGAATAGTGATTTCACTTCATCAACTTTAAAGATACTAATTAAAAAATTTGAACAAGCGAGATCAATCAGCGATCTTAAAAGTAGTTCAACACAAAGCATTGAAGCAGTTCGAGAGAATGTTGCTGAAAGTCCAGGAACATCAATTCGTCGCGGTGGTTAAGAATTGAACATTTCGAGGAGCTCCCTACAGCGTATTCACACAAAAGATTTGCGTCTTCATGCTTTCAAAGTTCGATTGACTCAAAAACTGAAGCCTACTGACCACGCACAGCGAAGAAAGTTCGTTGAATAGATTATGGAACAACAAAAAATGGAAGATGATTTTTCGAACAAAATCAACTTCAGCAATGAAGCTCATTTTTATCAATTGATGGCCTTGTTAATCGACAAAATTGTCGCATTTGGGGTTCAGAAAATTTACAAGTGATTGTTCCGAAACAAATGCATCCACAACATGTCACTGCATGGTGCGGATTTTGCGTGGGAGGTGTCATCGGACCAATCATCGCCCAGATTAGCGAGATGATAATCCAGTTTTTTATGTTAAAATTGCAAGATTTTAATGTGAACGGCATGTGATTCCAACAAGACGATGCCACTCGCCATAAAGCTCGAGAAAGAATTCAATCACTGCATAATTTTTCGTTTTGGTGATCAGAATTGGACGTCTAATTCTGCGATTTAAAACGTCGGATTTTTTTTCTTTAGGGTTTTTTGACGCCTACAGTTTATGTCAACAAGCGCACAACCACTCACGGCTTGAAGGAGGACATTGAGCGCTGTATCAACGAAATTCAACCACATTTATGTAAAACATTCATAGAAAATTTCAACAAAAGAGTGCGTTAAATCAATAAAAAATTTACAATTTTTAAATATAAACCTGTGTTTTCTATCAAAATTACTTCTTGCGTGAATTTTGGCACACCCTTTACATACATACGTAATTCAGATTTTAATAACTAAAATTTGTTTTTAAACTGTATATGTAGGCCATTAAGAGGAAAACCTATAATCAAAATCAGGTTAATTTTACATATTAATCAAAATTTTATACAATTTAATATTTTGATTTACTTATTGCAAAGATTCATTCAATCTTTAAAGATTTGAAGTTTGGGGGTTTTTATTTCGACCAATAAATTCGTAGTAAAAAATACCATTTATAATTTCTCTGAGATATATTGTAAATTTTAAGAAATTAAGGGAATATTTAACTTTCCATTTCTCAAATTTAACATTATAATAGCTCTTAAAAAATTTTATGTGTACAAAATATTCAGCCTAATTTATGGTCACTACTATTTCATTTAATCAAAAATTTTAAAAGGAATATAACGAAATTATAGGTTTTCTATAAATTAAAAGTGAATTATTATAATTTAGTTGGCAGTATTTAATTAAATAAGTTCCAACTTTGCAGAAAAGTTTGAAATTTCTAATGAAAATAATCTAGAACTGATTGTTTAAAATTTTAAAATGTAAGAAATTATAAAAAAAAAACTGATCTGGATTTGATTTTTCACAATTTTTTTTTACCAAAAGTACAGAATGCGATCAAAATTTTATATTGAAAAAATATGATATTTAATTAGGCCATTATTATAAAAATGTTTCTTCTTAAAAACAAATTATTCTTATACTTAACTAAAATAAAATGAAAGCAAGTTAATATTATATTACAAAAGAATCAACTGCAACAGCAAATCTTTTAAAATTTGAACAATTTTTGTGGCCACCTGCTGAAATCATTAAAAAAAAAATCTGATGTGGTCAGCACATAACCGACCGCATTGTGTATTGTCTAGTTAAATGAAAGTGTTACAGAATATTATAAAAATGTCTGTTAAATACTTCTTTCCAACTTTTAGGACATTAGTAAGCTTATAGTTAACATACTTAGAAAAATGTAAATTTGGCTCTTAGTAGAGTTTCGCTTTGTGCTACCCGAATTCTCTGAAATGCTCGCCAGTTAGTTTCGGTAACAACCAGAACTCAAATATCAAATTTCAAGAAATTCCATCAATTTGTTCTGTGGATATGGTGAAAAATGTAAAATCGGCCCGCAAATCAGTTCTCGAGCCCTGATCTTTCCAAAAAATTTATGTGTTCATTGTTTTAATACGAGGAGTTCATATAGTAAATTTCAATGAAATCGGTTGATTATTTCTCTTTATATACACAAAAATGTATATTTGGCCCGTAGTAAACGTCTAGTTGCCGATGCCTGATTTCTTCCAAAACATACGAATTTTTGCGGACGGTCGAGCTGAGCTTATATATAAAATTTCAAGTAAATCGGTTGAATATTTTCTTCAAAATGTTCAAAAATGTAAAACAGGCCCGCTAAAAAGTGCAGTTCCCGAGGCCTGATATATACCAAAAGATGATCGATCCGTGCCATGGTGGAAACAAACTTACATATAAAATTTCATCAAAATCGGTTCAGCCGAACTTGAGATACACGCGTGCACACACAGACCGACAGACGGACAGACCGACAGACCGACAGACCGACAGGTTGCTAAAAATAGTTTATTTACACTTCCCTACTATGGAGAAGTACGTTCCCATCGAAAACTCGATATGCAAAATTTGTTGCCATCACATAACCTACCTATTGTTTACACAATACGGTCGGTAAAAAGTATGTTGTCCACCGAGATAAAAAAAAAAGAAGAGAAAAAAATTCTTGTTTTTCTTTTCTTTCTGAATCAAAAAAGAAAAATGAAACAATTTTGTTGCGTAGGAATTTTACCTATATTTGTAAAAATTAAAACTAAATCTATACAATAAATGCATTCTTTATTTGTATCTTTTCAATTCATAGATTTCTGTTTTGTTTCTTTTTCTTCTTTATACCATTCTAAAAACCGATAACGTCCAGGTAAAAAAATGTTTATTTTTACACCTACCTAAATTGGAAATATTTTGATTCAGGTAAAAAATGTCGATTTCTTCTTGAACATTTATTTGTTTGAACATTACATGGTTTTTCGTTTTTGTCTATAAAAATATCCCTAATTTAAAAGTAGAAGCACTTTTGAGAAATAAAACTATTCAAAATAACTCTTGTAACTTTACTTACGAAGTATAAGAATATAGAAGCAGAATAAATTCATATATTTTATTCGTTTATTCCCCCAATTTTGTTAGTGTTTTCCTTTTTTTTTATTTAATTTTAAATTCTTTGTTTATTTTCGCGCGTTACTGAATGTTTTATATTTGAGTAGCATAGCATAAATTTATGTACTATTCATATAGAATTTAAAAAAGGATAATAAAAATATAAAAACGAAGCCTTATTTCCAAAGGCTCATAGAAAGCAAAATCAAACTGAAAATTTCGAAAATATTTTAAATTATGGACGGAAGTGTGAAACCAATCACAGATGATTAAGGTTAAAATAAACAATTTTTAACCAAAATTTGAAAATAAACAAATAAATATCATTAGAAAATAATAAGGACAACTTTTATATAGAAAATATCGACTTCTATATACATAAATATTATTCATTATTTTTTATTATAATTAAAGAAAATAAAAATTTCTACGATTTTAATTAGACATTATTTAAAATATTAGTATCTATTTCATTAAAGACTTTTTTCATGTAAATAAAATATTTTAACACATTTTATGCTGTTTGATGAAATAAATACATGTCTCTACAAATAGAAAAATATAAAATTACACAGACTCTATAATATTATATTTGAAAGTTTTGACATACATTTACATACGATGTGTTAAAGATACAAAAATAAAACTACTAATTATAAAAGCCGCTTTTATATTGAAGAATTTATATAATTATTGTAAATGTAAACATCTAAGAATTCATTATAAAAACATAAAAGGAAAACAATCAAAAACAATATTTGCGACAAGAGAAAAAAACAGCATTTTATGTTCTAAATTCATAACAGGTTTAGATTAAAAGAAAGATTTATAATTTATGTGAGTTATATTGTAAATTTTAAGAAATCAAGGGAATATTTTATTTTCCACTTTCTAAAAAATGCGTACAAATATACATTTTATTAAAACGCTTTCCGATAAATACGCTCAAAATAAATAACAAACAAGACTAGTCACTTATTATGTTCAGCATGAAAATTACACATTTTACTAGCACAAGTATAAGTACATTTTACAGATCGAGTTAAAGGTTTCATAATACGATACATTTGAATGAGTATGTCGCTAGAACACAACTTGAAAAAAATTTTATTATCTAACAAAATAATGTTTATTAATGTACTTTAATTTAAGAAATTTTTGAAAACGCATAAATATAATAATTCAATTTAAGCTACATATTTTAATTTCCCATAAATATTTGGGTGATAATATAAGATATTCGTAATATTGTACCATTATAAAAATTATTTGCTTATTATAAATTGTAATCAGGTACGAAAAGATTAAGTAATAATAAGTAAACAATTATTATTTAAGCTTAATTAGATTCATTTTGATTATTTAGTTAGAAGCAAATAATTAATTAAATAAAAAAAAAACAAAACTTCTAAAATATGGTAAGTATGTTTTGTGTTTTTTTAATTTTGTAAATTTCGAAAGAAATTTTTTGAGCATTATTTTCGTTAATTTAATTTGTAGCTAAATCAAAAAATAAATATCATGTTGCACAACCATCAATTTTTTCTAAACTGATACATATAATACATATATATGTATATGTATATATATACATGAATTTAATTTGAATAACTTTATATTATTTACAACACTGCTAAATAGGCAAATAATAATTTGTTTTTGTTTTAATTCAAAATATAATTATGTAATTTATGTTAAATTTTTTTTTGGAAGCAACTTACTACTTTTTTTTTGTTATTTCATATGTGTTAGTCCGTTTACTTCAATTTCAAACCTAATAACAGTACTTTTCTTTATTCTATTCCTTTTCTAAGCCATCAAAATTAATTTAATTTTCTCTTACAACTGGCATTGTTTGGCTGATTTATTTGTTCTATCTGGATCTTTATCTGAGTATTCATCACTTATTGAATCATCCATTGTATTATTTTCTCGTTGTTTATTATTACTATTATATTTTTTTCTATAAAGCATTGGTTGTGCAGTAACATCTTTTTGATTACCTTTTATTGATTTATTTGAATATGTGTGATGATTTGACGATGGTTGTGACGTAGTATTTACAGAATTGTGACTTAATTTTACAAAATATGAGTTGCTGTCTAAAATATTTTCAGAATGACCTGATTGTAGCTGTTCATTTTGAGCATTGTCCTGTGATTGTTGCTGTTGCTGTTGTTGTTCGCTATTTATATTTAGTTCCTTTTTACGAAATTTACCACTATTTCCAGCAACTGATGATGTTTGCCTTAAAGAACTTGTATTATATGAATGTGGTTTATTTTGTAATTGTTGGTGATGTTTTAATTGTTGATGATGACTAGATAAGCTACTGCCCAATGAGTTAAAAGATGTTATTGGCTTAAAACTATGTTCAATATTATTCATTTTATTTTCGGTAATTCGAAATTTCTCAGTTGGATATACATAATTTTCCATGTAGTTTGATTTTTCGTCACAAAAACGTGAACTATCGCCTACAGTTTGGTAAATATTATTAACAGAATTTTGATTTGAATGAAATGATGATGTAGCGTATGGTGCTACGTTATTTAAACTTTGATTGCCTACATAATTTGCGGAATTACATAAAGTGACTTCAGCATATTCAGCATTTACATTTGATGGATCACATATATAACGCGATTTTAAAAATTCAGCAGGCATTGTGGCACCTATACTTGGTGAATAATATTGATTAATTGTAGCACCTTTGTGAATTTCTGTTGTTAACATTTGGGCATGCCATGGTCCATCACCTGACGGAGGAAACATATATCCGTTTATGGGATCAGAAATATTTGCCATCTTCATGACGCTGTTTGGATGTGCGCCTGGTAAAGATCTTAAAGTTGATCTCTTTATTATCATGTGTTTTCGTTTAGCAAATACCATTGCACCAAATGACATTACCATTGTTGCTAAAATAACACCTAATAGTGCGATAAACCATGGTTGCGTTAAGATATCATTCATATGGTTGTGGTCTACAGGATATCTTTGTGTTGTTAAAGATTTTAAGGTTTTTGTTACAGGATCTAAACGCAATTCGGCGGGAAAACTGTATGGTCCAATACCTGCTTTATTGCCTGCTGCTATACTAACGGTATACGTTACCCCTTCGGTTAAATTTGCTAATACTAAAGTTGGTGATTTGGCATTAATTGTCACATTAGTAAGTATTTTCGATATATTCAAATAGAAATCCACTCCCCGTACGATTATATTATAATACAATAAAAGCCCATTTTGTGATTGTAAATTTGGTGGTTTCCATTTTAAAAATACGGCAGAAGTATTTAAAAGAAGTGCTTCCAATTCGTATGGTGGTTCACTGGGAATATCTTCTAAAGTTCTCTCAACTATTGAATTTGAGGGAATTCCTTCAAAATTTTTATAAAATGGTATAATGAAAAATTCATAATTTGTGTATTTTTTAAGTCCCGTAAAAGCACATGATGACGCAACACCGGCATTTAATAAGGTCAACATTTTATAGGAATTATTATTAGCAATATTAATGGTCTCTTGAATGGAGGAATTTAAATAATTTTCGAGTTGATCTGGTAATTCTCTAGCATATATATAAAATCCTTCTATGTAATTTCTGTTATTGATTTTCCAATTTAATTTCATAGTATTTGAATCTGGTGAAGACGCGTTTGTTAAGAATATCATATCATCAGTTAACAGGTTAGCTCTAACTTCACCTAAATTCACATCGTTGTATAAATTTGAGCTTTCAATTGATATTGAATCGGAAATCGGACTGGGTAAAGAAAATCCGAAAGAGTTTCTTGCACGAACTAAATAAAAATAATTTAGACCAGGTTTTAATCCACTATGGGTAAAAAAATTGTTTTCATTATATTCTTCAATAACAGACCAAGTTCCTTCTGTCTGATTTTTACTGAAATATTCTACTGAATACAAAATTTTTTCTGTGTTACTTAACATTGTACTTTCACTCCACGTTAAAGTAACATTGTTATAGGATCTAGATATCATTTGCGGTTTTCCTGGCTGTGATGGTAACAAATTAGTTTTTGGTGCTCTCACAAATTTTATGTTTGGATCTGTAGGTAGTTCTACTCTTAAATAACCACTATAATAAGATTTCCCATTCTCATTTTCAGCAACGCAAGTATAGAGTCCAGCATCCGATTTTGTTAAATCGTTTATTACTAAGCTTCCATTTTCGGTTATTTCAGTTCTATTGTTATACAAAAATATTGAACCATTTTTTAGCCATGATATCTCGGGTGCTGGTGCTCCAATTGTTAAGCATGACATTAAAGCAAACGATTTTAATGGTAAAGTTTGGTTAGATGGTCCTTGGACTATCACTGCTGGAGGAACATCACTTGAAGAATTTACCGACAAAACAGTGCGGATACTGACACTTTTCACAATATTGACACCATTACAGACAATAACTTTTCCGGTATCTGATGCTTTTACTTTGTTAAATAATAAAGATATTTTTCCCTCCGGGTTTTGAGTGACCTTAATGCTATCGTTTTCGTAATTTGGAAAATATAGGGAACTGCTTCCCTCAAATGACCAAAATGTGCTTGGCCTTGGAAACCCATTTATTTGACATTCAAAGTAAGCACTATTTCCAACGTTAACAGCCACTGCTTTGGGTCGAATTGCGACAGATGGTGGTGAAAATACAAATAAAGATCCAGTGGTTATTACAGAACCTACTGCATTTTCAGCTTCACAACTGTACTCTCCAACATCATCAAGTGTCACATTTTCTAATTTTAAACTTCGATCTTCAAGAAGTGTTACTCTACGTAATGGCATATTACCCCCGGTAGCTGAACGTCTCCAGAGTATATCAGGTAATGGATCACCACCAACTCTGCAACTAAATATTACTGAGCTACCAACAATTGCAGATTGACTTTTTGGGCCCTGAATTAAGAATGGTTTAATATGAACCTTTAATATTGCTATCGAAGATTCTCTAATTCCAGCAATATTTTTAACTATACACTGATAACGCCCATCATCAGATTGGCGAACATCTTGGATTGCTAAATTTCCACCATCAACTATTTGTATACGTTTTGAAGAATTTAAATTCATTAATTGACCATTTTTACGCCACATTATGATAGGTTCTGGAGAACCGCGTGGTGGACCACATTCCATAAACGCAGTTTCCCCTTGTGCAATTGCAGTATTTTGAGGCTCTAAACGAAAATCATCTCTTAAAAATGCAACTTGCAGCGTAGCATTACGGCTTCTAGCAACTCCAAATTCATTTTTAGCTTCACACCAATAAACACCCCCATCACTCTCACGTTTTGAATGGGTTACTCTTAGGAAAAATAATTCTCCAGCTGGTAATAATATTTTGTGTGAATTCGGATCAACTTTCAACACTTCGCCATTTTTATACCAAATTACTTCTGGTTTTGGATGTCCTTCAACTTTACAATTTAATGTTACAGGATCATGCTTTGGAACTGTTACATCCATTGGATGTTCAATAATACGAGGTGCTTTTAGTTCATTTTCTGAACCCAATGTATTCACGAACAACAAAACAAATTTTACCCAAATGATGATTGAATTATACATAATTTTTTTTTTCACTTATCTTAAAAAAAAAAGGTACGAAGAATTTTTAATTAAAATGCCCTAAATTTCATTTTCATTATAGAAGTTTTTTTTTAATATTATTTTTCACATATTTATAAAATGCTACACACTATTTTTGTCCAAAATTTATTAATTTTATTTAATTTTTTAGAATAAAATAACTTCACAGATCTACAATAAACCAGTCGACATTTTCATTGATTTTCTACGAACAACTTGAAATAGCACACAAAGCGTAGCAAAATGGTAGAAAACAAGGTAAGATAAATTAGCAAATGTTGATAAACATTTTAATAAATGTGTAATACGCACCGATGTGTGGCGCTCGCTCATTAATAAATTCTGAACGGACATTAAGGGCGCTGGCAAACACGCAATTCTTAGTTTTACAATTACTGATTGATTGTAAAATCGTTACGCAACACTGTTTCAATTAATTGCATATGATCATACAGCTAAATGTGTGTACGCTTGCCCTTGTTTTGTCTATCCTCAAAAAATTTATTTAGAAACAGAATCAAAATGGAGAATGAAAATGCAACAACGAAACTAAAAAATCAGCTATTCAGTATGCATAAAACATATAATGTTATATGCAACTGGAAGCAGATGATGTCAAAAAAAAATTTTCATCAATAAAACCGCTTTTACACTGCTTATTCGCCGTCTGTTGAATTCACGGAAATAATTTCGCTCCATTTATGCAATGCTATTTGCAAATTATATGTGTATTAAATATGAATTTTTAACTAATTTTAGTAATTTAATAGTATTAAGACTAATTTGGTTCATGACATAAATAATATATATATATACATACATACATCTATAATACATTTATTAAAAAATCCCTTTTTGGACCATTTTTATAAGAAATTCATAGTTTTTAACTAGTGAATTTGAAATAAGACTTTCGTTAAAAAAAGAGATCAACCAATTTTTTGACAAGAGATTCAAACGTTATCCAGTTATGACATTTATTTTTAAAACTAAAATTGAATACGAGTATTACTTACTTCGGATGTCGAATTTCGGATCTTAGGGAATTTATAAAATGCCGTTTTGAATATAATAAATTTTAACTCAAATTGATTAGTAAAAGCTAATTAATTTATTATGTACAAATTTGGTTTGATGTTAATAACACATATTTCAAAATTTTATAAAACATTAGAAATTATTAATTTGAAAAAAAAAACTCTCCCATTTTTTACTCTCTTCCTTTATTTAAAATTACAAGGTAATTTTTCCAATTGCTCTTTCACAATAATGGAAAGAAAAAGGCTGAAAATATAATTATAATTTCATCAAAATTATGATTGAAATTTTTAGTTGAGGTTTTTATTTTCGATATACTGTTGAGAAAACTCCAAATTTTATTTTATGTAAAAATTTATAGTTTTGATAAAGTTTCCATTCTGACATTTTCAATTATTTAATAAAATAATGAACAATACAATGATCGAACTGAAAATCTTCTATCAGTTGAATGAGTTGAGTTGAATGAGCCTTATGATTGACAACATTACTGACAACGAAAACTGTCATCGCACATGTGGAATATTCTACTTTATTTTGAAAACAAATAGAAAGTGAATAATTTTGTATTTAAGACGAAAAACAAAATATTTGTTTTTTAAAAATAGACATGGTTCAAAAAAGAAAATTAGGTTCTTTGAAAATGTTCACATTAATATACGCATATAACGAGAATATTTTTAGGTGTCGGGTTAAGTAGAGAAGAAAGAACTTTAATCGTCATTGGTGAAATAATACAAGAGTTGTTAGAAGCTCATGAATCAAAAAAGAATGTGGATTTGAATCGTATGAAAGCTAGAATATCATCAAAATATGGTTTAGAAAGCTCACCTCGTTTAGTTGATATAATAGCAGCAGTACCCCATGAAGCTAAAAAAATTTTACTACCTAAACTGAAAGCCAAACCTGTTCGTACAGCAAGCGGTGTATGTCAAATAAGAATATAATAAGTACATTTTGCTAACTGCAAGTATTATTTTAGATTGCTGTTGTGGCAGTAATGTGTAAACCTCATCGATGTCCACATATTAACATGACTGGCAATATCTGTGTATATTGTCCTGGTGGTCCAGATAGTGATTTCGAATATTCTACACAAAGTTACACTGGTTATGAACCAACATCAATGAGAGCTATTCGAGCGCGTTATAATCCATATTTACAAACAAGACATCGCGTAGAACAGTTAAAGCAACTTGGTCATTCAGTTGACAAAGTTGAATTTATAGTTATGGGTGGAACATTTATGTGCTTACCAGAAGAATATCGTGATTATTTTATAAGAAACTTACATGATGCTCTATCTGGTCATACAAGTGCTAACGTTGCTGAAGCAGTTAAATATTCTGAAAGATCTGTGACAAAGTGTATAGGCATTACAATAGAAACGAGACCTGATTATTGCCTTAAACGACATTTGTCAGATATGCTTTCATATGGATGTACTCGTTTAGAAATTGGTGTTCAAAGCGTTTATGAAGACGTAGCACGAGATACGAATAGAGGTCATACAGTACGTGCTGTTTCAGAAAGTTTTCAGTTGTCGAAAGATGCGGGATATAAAGTGGTCTCACATATGATGCCAGATTTACCAAACGTTGATTTTGAAAGAGATATTGAACAATTTATTGTAGGCTTTATTTAGGTGTTTTAATACTTTTAATTCCACTTTTTATTTTAACAGGAATTTTTCGAAAATCCAGCATTTCGTGCTGATGGATTAAAAATTTATCCAACTTTGGTAATACGTGGGACTGGCCTGTATGAACTTTGGAAAACTGGGCGTTATAAAAGTTACCCACCTTCAACACTAGTCGATTTAGTGGCAAAAATTTTAGCCTTAGTTCCACCGTGGACTAGAGTTTATCGCGTACAGCGTGATATACCAATGCCTTTAGTTAGTTCTGGCGTTGAACATGGAAATTTGAGAGAGTTGGCTTTAGCTAGAATGAAAGATTTAGGAACTGATTGTCGTGATGTTCGAACACGAGAAGTGGGAATTCAAGAAATTCACAATAAAGTGCGACCATATGAGGTGGAATTAATTCGCAGGGATTACGTCGCAAATGGAGGTTGGGAAACATTTTTATCCTATGAAGATCCCAATCAAGATATTTTAATTGGATTGTTACGTTTGAGAAAATGTTCCCCTGATACTTTTAGACCAGAACTGAAAGATAATTGTTCCATAGTGCGGGAGCTGCATGTATACGGTTCGGTCGTTCCTGTAAATGCAAGGGATCCAACTAAATTTCAGCATCAGGTAAAGAAGTTTGTTATTAAAAAATACTAGATTTTATTTTTGTTTTATTTAAGGGATTTGGTATGTTATTAATGGAAGAGGCAGAACGAATAGCAAGGGAGGAACACGGAAGCATCAAATTAGCTGTAATATCCGGAGTAGGAACACGAAATTACTATAGGAAAATGGGATATGAATTAGATGGACCGTATATGTCTAAAATGATTTTATAAATTATGTTGTGAAAATTATAAAATAAATTTGTAATAATTATTAATACTTTAGTATTTTTATTTAAGAATTAATAAAAGTATTGGAAATACGCATTGGTATTTTTAAATCCGAAATCAAATTATTTGTTTTCGTGTCATTGTTCGTAACGTATATTATATTTTTTAATAACCATAAGACCTCCTTCGTAAAACTTTCATCATCAAAGCTAAATAAGTGGTTCAACAAATTTGCAAAGCTAGTATTTACATTTAAACAAACATCTTCTAAAATTAATACAAATGTATCTTTGTATATAAACGTAACATTAGCAAGCACACGAACATGGTACAACATTTTTGAAAAATGGGAAGAACTAAGGATATTTTTAACTGTAACTTGCGCTATGTACTTTAACTGTTCTATATTGAACGTGTAGCTTGATTTTATAATATGGGAATTGAAAATTACTTCCATGACAAATTCGTTCCGCTCATCTTCTAGGGGTATTTTAGTTATGTTTTCAAAAACTCTGCCTAAATCAACTCTAAAAAAAAGAGAAACAATTGATTAATGAATATAACTGACTGGATTTCGATAGAATTAACTTACGTTGTTGGATTAAATATTTCACTTTTCAATGTCAAGTTCAAACAAAGTGCTATATCATTTAGTAAATCAACATTTTCCGACATATTTTCAGAATAGAGTATATCTGAACATTTAGATATTATTTCCATAGACATTAAAATTTCAGCGCCTTTTTTACCAGTTGAAACAATATTTATCAATGTCCAAAGACTAGATTGCTTTAAACGGAAATCAACTGATTCGAGAAATGTTATCAAGTAGCTTCCAGCTTGAGTAGCAATTTTTTCACAAACTGTTTCATCACCTAATGATAAATTGCACAAAGTTTCGGCAGCTCGAATTTGTTGTTCAGAATCATGTCCTAAAAATCAGAAATTTATGTATTCAATTCAATAAAAAATGACATAGGTGATATAAGTTAATATATTCTATACCTGTCAGTTCTTTAACAATTATTTGTAAAGCACCTGGGGTTTTTGCAAACATTGTTATATTTTCAATTGATTGCAGAAATGCTTGTGATAGACGAAATAAATCATTAGAATCAGCATGTTTTTTTCTTTTGATGCGAACACATAGTCCATGCACATCCTTTTCCGTTAAATTTTCAATTTCTTCTACGAGAGATTTTATTTCACCTAAACCTAAACGAAATGAATCATTTTCCTGAAAACGTTGGTTATTTCGATGAGCTTGAAAATTTTGACGAATCTTTTTGCGTATATATTCAACGGAATTTTTCTGTTCCATTTTCTTTCAAATTCCTTGGTATTAAACTCCAAGTGTTTTAGATAAGACAGCTACGAGTATTTTTAAAATTATAAACTCAAATTTCAACTGAAAAATATTAGAAAAGACATAGAATTTAAAGCTGTAAGCTTGTTGTGAACAATCTTCTAAACTTAAGTTTCAATAAATGCAAAATAAATTAAAATTTTATAATGCGTAAGTAAACTGATTTTTTTCAGTTTTGAAACGAAATTTGTGCATACTATTTTGTTTACAAACAAAATTACAAATTAGTAAACATAACCCTTTTAAAAGTTAATATGATGTCAAAATATAGTATTGCCAAGTTTTAGTTAATTATTAGGATTATGGCTATAGCGGCTGCGGTGGACATTTATTTGAAATTGATAAATTTCACAAAAGTAGGTGTTGTGAACGGGGGTGAAAATTTCTGCTGAGATTTTTCAAAAGAAAAAATTATTGTAGCGCCGACGGTTTTTTTTGACATTATCTGTTTCCATGACGTTGTATGCAAAATTCTGTACAGTTGATTTTGCCGTTCCGCTGCCGTTCTAGTTTAAGAGCGAAAATCGTCTGCCGTAGTCGTTTACTGCTTTGTTTCTGCTCTAACCTATTTCTTAGCCAAATTTTAAATCAGATTAATTGATCAATTAATTGATCAGCTGGATCAGTTGATTTTTCATTTCATTACAAAAATATAATAATATTTTTTTTTTTTAACTAAGTTAAAATTTAATTTTGTCTAATTACCTTAATGATAATAGTATTTTGTAGAATAATTTTAATAAAAAAATATTTAACAACAGCTTCAAAAAGTGTTTTTTTGAACAGTATAATAAATAGCAGAAGTTCTTTGGTCTAATATTTGAAACAGCGATACTTATATGTATGTAGCTAAGTTTCTTTAAGATTCTTTAATTTTTTTTTGTATCATTACTGTGTAGTAATAAAGCTTTTTTGTATAATTAGAAAAGCTATTTATTTTTTCGAAATTCAAAACGCGCAAGTTTTATTTTTTTCTTTTTTTTAAATACACAGAAATAACTCAACTGTTGAATAAATGATAGAACCAGTTGAAGTTTTAATATAGTTAAACAGTATTTTTCTCATTTTGAAATTGAAAAAAAATAAAAATAAATTTTATCATATACATATATTATAATATAAATATTAATTATGCCTATTTAAATTATAACTTAAATTTAAATTGAAATATTTGCAGTAGTAATTGTAAATTTAAAACGGTTAAATTTAACTTATACTTATAAATTACTTTTAAAGTGTATATAAGAAATTTTATGGTTAATCTTTTATTACTTTTTGTGTTATAAACCATATATTATCTAAAAGTGATCTCCATAATATAATAAAAATGAAATACAGGGTGAAAAATCTATAAGAAAAAAGAATTTAGTAAAGGATACTTCAGGGTACAACTTTTATAGTTTTGTATTACTTTATATACAATAATGTCCAAATTTACTGTTATTTATTATTGAGAAAAAATTAAAACTAAAAACTTAAATCTATAGTTATAGACACTTTTATATAAACTTTACATACAATTTATATTTACACATTTTTTACATATGCATACATATATATATAGTATATATTCTATTCTAAAATAATTCTTCTAAGACTGTTATATATGTTTATCTCTTTTTCACTCTAGTGCTTTAATAAAAAAACAAAAAACAAAATCAAAAAGTCTGTACAAAACCACATACTTAATAATCCCGTTAAAAATAAATTTTTTCGAACATATTTTTTTAAATTTAACAGAATATAGTTCAGTCTATTGGATACCTTCATACGGCGCGAACACTTTATATAAGAAAACTATAAAATTTCTAAATGTGTAATTGAAAATTCAAATATTTGTGTATATATGTATATGTATATAAATATACGCATGTAATATAAGAATAATATAACACATAAAAATGTAGTATACACACTATGGATTATATAAATTTATTTCAAAAATTATAACTGTTAAAGTTCAAAACTGAAAAAAAGCAAAAAAAAACTAAGGAACAAAAATTTTGAAAAACCCGAATTAAACGAAAATATCAAATAAGTGTTATATTAAATTAAAAATTATACATAACTTATTTAAAAAATAAATTTATTAAAAAAAAATTAAAATTTAAAAATATAATATTTAGGAGATTAAGAAACAATCCAAAATAACAAAAAAGAAAAATCCATATTAATTAAATTAAAAGGAAAAAAAAATAAAAAAAGAAGTCACAGGTGAGAAATCACAAGTATAACAAAACGCAATTAATTTTTTTTTTAATAATTAATTAAAATTGTCAATTTCGAATATTTGCTTCAAAATTAAATTGGTATACCAACATATATAAGCTATGTAAGTTAAAATTAAAAATATTTTGTTTCCAATTCATACATGCATACATAACACGCACACATATATAGCAGTATACAAGCTAGTAAACTAGCTTTATAAAAGTAAAATTTATAAAACTAATTTAGTACTTATATTTGAAAATTTCTTAATGCGTATTAAAATTAATTTATTAATTTATTACATACTTACGTACATTAAATTACTAAATATAAATTATTTGACAAGTTATAAACTGTATATATACAATAAATAATTATTTTTACGAATTAACAGGTAATAGTGTATGCTTATGTACTTATATAATTTTATGAATCTGGGGGCAAGTGTTGAACATGCGTTTGCTCTTTACATTTCTCTTAATCTTGTTTTATTTTAAAAATTACCAAAATTATTTTAAAAATTACCAGATTTTTTTCAATAAACAAATGTAATTCGTAAGTATGAGAATTTTTCTTTTGTTGCGCATGCATAATAATTGAAGCGCAGAACAAAAAGATTATTCAAAAATTACAACAATTTGTTGTATTAAAAAAAAAGCAGAATTTTGCTTTTGAAAAAAATGCAATAATTCCAAGAGAGCAAAGCATTCCAACGACACTTTTACGATTTTTTTACCGCGTAAATTAAAATCACGTTACAATATTAAGAGTAATGTTCTGCATAGGCCTTTGTTTTTAACAATGAAGTATAAAAGTTAATGCATATACATACGCATAGAACCATGTGGGAATAAATACACATACACTTTCATATGGCTTTTGAAATAATTTTTAAAAAATTTAACAAATTACTTAAAAATACTCATTCATAAAAATAGTGTTAGTGTAAGTTTAGCCTTTTGAATTTTAAAATTATTTCAATACGTATTTGAATGATTGGAATATTTTTGAATTTCTTCTTTATATAAGTAAATTGAGGATAATTTCATTTTTTCGATTTAAAAAATTCGATTTGTCTATTATTTACATACTTACTTATAATACTTATATTTGTAGTAAAAATTATTGATAATTTGTTTATTTTAAAAGATAGAAGGATTTAATGAATTTCTATTTGCTTCTTCTTCGTCTGCCACTACTGGGTGTTTGCGATTACATTGCTAAAGTTCTCCTTGTTCTGTGCGGTGTGTACTAGTCGCCCGATTGTTTGTAGGCCAGTCCATTGCCTGATGTTTCGCAGCCACGACATATGTTTTCGCCCAACACGCCTTTTGCTTTCTATTTTACCTTGTAGGATTAATTGCAGGATTGCAGGATTGATTTTTTGCTTGTAGGATTTCTATTTTAACTTTCAAAATTGCGCGATATATACAGAAAAATTAAAACTTTGATGGATCTGGTTTAATAAGATTTAATATCGGTTTCAGTAATTTAAATTTATCCCCAAAATCGAAAGTATCTGTTTTATTATTATTTCACTTTGTATAGCAGCACACAATATGCTACAATATGTACAGGAATACATTTATTGTATGATTAAGAATACTATTCTTAAGAATACTATACTTAAGAATACAAAAGCAACAGTTACGATATTTTTACTTACAAATACGTGACGCAGATGCGCACCTGTGTACCTAGAAACTTCCATATACAATAATGCACCAAGTGCTATGAATGAAAATCACTTTTCTATAGTTATGTACACATTGTTTTTTAACAGTATATAACAAGTATATTTAAAAAAAAAGTAATAAATAAATAACACATTTTTCTTAACATAAATTGTTCGACTTAATCCGGATTAGTTAAATAATGTTAACTTTTTAATTTATATAAATTTTATATTATTTGAAAAAATAAAAAAGTTTCCAGCTTATACTAAAATACAAAACCTCTTCAAAAACGCAATACTGCAAAAACTTAGTGTAATGGATATGCAATATATTTTTAAGTATTCTATGAAAAAGAAGTTTATATGATTTTACTGCCCTTACTCATTGCAATTTCACTATATTACTGATAATTTAGTTTACTGCGTTTACGAAAATGTAATTATTAATGTAAACCATTTAAATTTCCATATAACATGTTATGCATTTCTTTCTCAAAGAAAATAGAATTTTTAGATTTCTCAGAATTATTTCAGATACTTATCAATAATCCCTGTATACAGATGTGTCTTAAAATGATTTATACTATTTTGATCGATTTCACATATAAAATGGATGCAATTCTTTACACGAATGAAAGTTTTACCTTTAAAATAGCAATTATATGATATATTAGTGGATGTATTTTAAATCTCTTCTTATACACAATATACATACGTATAAAAACATTTTGTATTAAGTATTGAAAAAATATACACAAATAGAGAGTTCAACATAAATAGTAAATTTTAATCGCTTGTTAAAGCAAAAAGAGCTTAAATAATAACAATAATTTTTAATTAATATCAGATTTGCATTTTATGTATCACGCAAAAAAAAAAAATATTCCAACTATTAAAATATAAAAACACACTTTTATATTTTGTGTATACGCAAGGATCATTGCTTGTTAAGGTATGATACACAAGTGGAATAAATTTTTTTTAGGATTTGCTTGTTTGTGTTTGTGTATTATAACTTTTATGAACTTTTCATATTCATAATTATTGATTGTAAATTGATGTTACAAAATATTTTGTTAATAAAAATAAACAATTTATTTTTATTTCAATATCATTACATTACAAGTATATATACTTATATATGTATATATATTTTGTATATTATGTATTTTGTTGTATATAACATCAAATATTGGAAAAAAGTTTTGTTTTATATAATAAATATATATTTGGAAATTGAATATTTGGAGTAAAAATTTTGCGGAAATAATTTGTAAAGTTTATTATGAGTACGAGTACCTTTACTGTATTTTAATTAAGTTCTTCTATAAGTTTGAAGTATATTTTCATTATGAAAATTATATTTCTAATTTTGATGAATGATATTGTTAAATATTAAGAGAATTCGAGCCATACACAAGTAAATATGTGTATAAAAATGATTTTTAATAAAGTAAAATATAATTATATTTTTTAGGTTTTTGGAAATTCCATAAAATTATTATTAAACTTATGATTCAATATTGAAGCCTCATAGCTTACTTTCAAATATTAAATTCCTAAAATATTGAATCTGAAATCTGAATCTGATATTTATTTATTTTCAGAAAATTTTCATATTTTGTTATACAAATTAGTTTAAGTCTGAGCTAGGTTGTAAAAATATGTAATACGCACAATTTCTTTCTTATTTTTATAAAGCAAAAAACGAAAAAACGTAAATTTCAGAACATACGTAATGAAAATGACTTAATGAAATTCAAATTTTCGTATTCCTTCCTAATTTAGAATAGATTTTACATTAGTGTTCAACGAATTTTAAAATAGCTTGACTAAATAACAATGTTTTTCAAGTAACAGCACCAATTAGCATTTTTCTAAACAGCATGACACCATGTCAGCGTTTATATAAAGTAGTACGAAAATTTCAATTAAAATATAAAATTATAATTAATATAATTATTCATATTTTATGAAAAGCAAAATATTAATTTTTTAACTTATTTCTTGAAAACTGTTAGCTTTTTCAAATTTTTTTAATAAATGGCTTCTAATCTCAAAAAAATAATTGATTGCTTTAACTTATTAAATAAACAGTAGAAATACAGCTTCGTTTGCGCTACTTTCTGAACCGAAAGGTATGGGACATTGTAATGTTTAAATTACAGTGTTTCAATATCAAATATTAGTGATATAAATAATAAATTTAATAAGTACGTGAAAGGAGCAGCGCATTATTAAGAAGTTTAGTAAAGGAACATAAATATCAAACTTGTCCTTCATCCAAATTCGTAAATTTAAAAATATACTTCTAGAAAACTAAACTATTAAACGTAAATACAATATAATTTATATAATAGAATTATTGAAATAATTGCAATATGAAATATGCTATTACAATATGGAATAGTTCTATTAAATCTGTATATAATATAAATCTGCTATTTTAGCAAAAAATAATATAAATATATCGAGAATCTGTAAAGACTTCTTTACTGCATCTTCTTATAATTAGGCTTGAATCATTATCTATATCTTGTACGACTGTAGAAATATTTAAAAAATAAAAAATTGCATACTTTTAGGTGCATTATTACAAAACATTTCTTTCAAAATAATGTGGGCTGATTATGAAGCTAAGCAAACCAGCTTTTTATTTATTTAAAATAAAAACTAAAAAACCAGCACTTTTTTTACTTTAGCTTTGTACCAAAATACAAAAAATATTAATTGCTTTAGATCTTATTATTATTATACAATCTCGTACGTATGTGTATTCCAAAAATTTTTGAAAACATCTTTAGTTTTTAGTATAATACTTGATTTAAATTGTATATATAATTTTTATATACGTTCTCTTTTTATAACCACAAAATATGATGTGTAACCAAGAGTATAATTCTTTGGTTTTTAAGATACAATTTATATAATTACTCTTATACATTTTATTTAAGTTTTTTTCTTTACAAAAAACTAAAAAAATAAATTATTTATGTACAAAAAAAGGAGGAAAAATTTATAAGAGAGAATTTGAATATAAAAATACTAATTATAGTCAATTTTATTATTGTCTGTCTGTTATTTATATTTGTAATACTTAATGTACTTTATGAATGTAATTATGTACGTATATGTGTAGGTATATATTATTTATTTTGTTTGCTGGTTTTTTTCTCCTTTCTCAATTTTAATATATTTTGAAGAATTTTTGATGTAATATTTTTCACGGTATATGCCATGTTGAACATATATATATATATATATATATATATATATACATTTTATCTCAAGGACGACTTCTATTATCCTGATAAATATAACAATAATAATATATTTTTATTTGTACACATCCATATATCTTCTTTTATTTTTGTTTTTGGTTTTGTTTTATTGCAAAAGCAAGAAAAAAGGAAAAACAAAAACTTTTGATGCGCTCAATTAAATTT